CATTTGGCAAGCCTGCAGCGGCTCGGGAAGTAAGCAGGACGAATTGCGAGCCCGCTGCCCGTGCTTGTGGCTTGTTGGTGTCGGTTGTTTCTGTTCGTCGCTCTAGTGTGACTCTGGCCTAAGCCTTTTTAGCGAGACCCCGACTGCAACCGCGTGACGTGCGGACGGCTCGCGGCCCCACTGCCGATACGCCGTACAAAAGACAGTCTGCAGAACCTGTCTGAGGCGTATTTCTTTCCTTGGTCATAGAACTGTCGGCAGACATGTTAGAAGCAGACACATGTATGATGCGCACATGCTTTGAACATGCTTCAGGCATGAAGATAATTCTCTCATCGTGTCTGCAGAGAACTCTGCGTCTTTTGTACGATGTACCATAGCCTCCTCTTTACACACAAAGCCTGGCAGTTCGACGACGGAGCCATAAATTGCCCGGTCGCAGATTTGGAGCTCGAGGATCTGGTAGTACCGAGCATCAAAGAGCCATTTCTCGGGGAACCTGGACGTCAGAGCACAGCTTTTGCAGCGGCGAGGACCCCGAAACACACTTGTTCGCTCGGGAGAAGGGTGTTTCGGCGTCTCGCCGCAGCGGGGCGCCAGTCACGTGGCTCTTCTCTCATCCGTTGTCTTCCGCTCCACCTTTTCCAATTCGGCGGCCCCTTCTTGTCGCAATCTGCCATGCTTTGTCAGTATATGGGGGCTATGGATGTACCAACAGTGTGACAACGGATTGAACTTCTTTTCACCAGCTCCGACCGCCCGGCGAGTCTTGTTTGATCTACTTTGGATTTGAAGATGAATGGGGTAAAGTGTGCGAGGTAGAAACACTTCGGCACGCATTTCTAGGTGTAATGATAATAATAATAATAATAATAATAATAATAATATTAATAATAATAATACAATAAAGACAAAACCACGTACACCCTTTCAAGATATGTATTTATTAGGTTTACTGCCCATCGTCGATTTCAGATAAACGAAATTCGAGCGGTGGTACGACATAAAAACCATAAATATAGAAGGACGTGGAGATATCACAGATATGCCTCCAGAATTGAAAAAAATTCGATATTTCTGACAAACGGAAAAGTGAGAAAATCGATAAAGATCACTCGCATATACCGAAGATATTATTATTCCCGGCACTACGTCTGACGTCAGTATACTAACGGATTCGCCAGGAATAGCAAACACTTAGAAGCATACATTACTCTCGGAACACTTTGGCATATTTTCACGCGCGTGACATTTATGATGAGGGCAGCAGTTGTATACCTGCTGTCCTGTGAAAGCGTGTAAAGCGTGTTAAACATGTGTTTGTTTGTGGTCCGTCGAGTTACTAGGTCATACAACGCGTGTGCTTGTATACGTTCACGTGCGTGCTTTGCGCTCAATGGCATCATATATGTCGCATGTACAGAAAAGTAACTGAAAGCAAACGATTCAATGTTATCAAACTGCAAGTACTCAAATCGTAAAATAAGAACAAGGTCATCGAGTAACCTACGATTAATCGATCAATGGAATACTTTTATCGGGATTCTTTTCTTAACCGGTTAATTGGTAAACATTTGAGGAAACTAAAGGAAGTAAAAATTAAACGATTTCACCGCGCAGATGTGGACGAGAGCACCTGTATGAAGGGCAAACTTTATGCGAAAATTTTAACCTAAAGTAAACAGTAGGGGTAAGATTTGTAACTCCAGCAAGTGCAGAAGGTTACAGGTATTGCTGCCATTTTAACGCCGCGCGAGTGTCCGTTTAGCACAGCAGAGGCTATTCTCAAAAAATCAAAGGGTGTCGCTCTTGCCGGGGAACAAACCCTTCGCCTCATGCAGTTGAACTGTGGGTATCTGCAGCATCTGTGATTGTCCTTGAACTGTTCTCAACTACACATCCAGGCTGATTCATAATCAAGGTTGTATATTGCGCCGTTTATCACAATTCAACGAAGAAAAAAAAATTACTTTTTTTAATTATGCGTGGAAATAGACGAGACCGACTAATCGATTAATTAAACTATTAAATGGTGGCGAGTAAGCGAGTTACAACGTTTTAATCAACGTCCGGCCCAGAACCTTTATCTCAAATAATGTTTTATTTATTAACAGGTGCTCTATTCCGACAACCATCTGCGGGAAATATTTACATTGGTCGCGCATCTATGAACCGTACGTTCAACGCGATAGTGCGAAACTGAGCACAGGCCTTTCTTCGATTAAAGTCAAAATAGCAAGGCCTGTCCTTAGATGCCATTGCCATTGTCATAGCCTATCGCCGACAACAATGAACGAAATCATTAAGAAATAAAATTAATCACAGTTGCAACATTTGAAATAGGCACTGAAGTATTTAAATGACACGTTTTGTTGACGTGGCATTTTTATATATCTAAGTGCGCTACTTAACAAATCTAGCAGCGCGCTTGGTTTACTTTCAGTTATCTCCAAAATGACGTGTCTACTGGTTGTATTTTCTTACGTCCGGCGAACTTTGGAACTATTTAATAAGTATAGTTAAATCAGAAAGCAAAACAGAAACCGCAGCTGCGAAGTGCCTCGAGATATCGCTTGCCCATTTTGATATTTAGAGGAACGTGGCATACATAAATGCCAAATACAAAATGATAGCCAAGGTTTTGACGAACGAAGACCACGAAAAGTATCACAGAATCTTTGCCACAGACAAGCATTCTTTAGAACGCCATGAGAAAAAAAAAATTGAGGTTTTTGGGTGATTACTACTATAGGTTCACCGATTCGCATAATAAATATTTTCAAAAAGCAGAACACACAGGCACCGAAAAGAGTTGTAAGGCTTGGTAGAACCTTTCGTTGCGCCAGTTTATGACGCACATCATATATTATGGTGCTGATGCCATGATGACATTAAAGGGACCATGATGTGATTTTTCAACTCCTTCCTCCTCAGCTTTAATCCACAACTCAAAAGCGAAATGAGAAATCACGTGGTCGCGACTCCAAGCTTCTATCATTCTTTTTGAAGGAGCAATGAAACGAATTTTGGTCTGGATAAATGGATTTAGACTTGGATTTTACTAATAGCATATCGTTTAGTTGGCCAAAAGAAATAAGGTAGAAAGTCAAGAGCCTGGTTTTCGGTGCGAAAATTTGAAAACATAGCGGACTATTTCGTATACCTCCTTCCTTTCGAAAGCCTTTATACTGTGATACATCCTCGGTATCCAAGGCACGTCACCCGGCCCTAACGAACGTCACACGACCCCCGACCTCGCTAGATTCCCTTCACCCCTAAGCCGACAGTGCGGTGTGAGCTACGCGCTGGCGGACCAATCAGCCGCCTCCCTTTCATCACCTGACCCCATTCTCTGCGCGTGGGCATGCGCGAGGGAGGGTGGTCACGTGGCAAAAGATATAAGTGTGGCTGGCCCAAAGAACGCGTAGTTTCCACATCACTGTGGAAATCAAGCAACTTTTGTTTGAATTTTGAGCAACGGGCTAATCTTCTAGCAATGTCCGGGTACACAAACGAGGGTCCGAGCAAGAGGGGAGTTCCCCATTTCCCTCTTCTTGAACTGTTTGGTACGCTGCGCGGTTTGTGGGTTGAGGAAGAAAGCTAAGGAGGAAAAAGTTGAAAAGTCGTTTCATGGATATCCGAGCTTTTCTTAATTAACCGTAAACATCTTATCATCTTTGTATACCACACAAATGATATCATTACAACTGGTAGCACTTTTTACTGATTGAAGACATCATAAGGAGTCGGGCACTTTGCTTTAAACAAAGTGAAATCAGACTGCCTTTTTTCAGAGCAAAAAACAACAGCAACTGTCGTTTATAATGGGTAACAATCTTTTAGGGACTCTTATGGTGGCACTATTAGTTATGCGTTCTGTTGGATCAAAACTGAAACCGTCAGCTTTGGTTGTTCCCGTATTTCAGGAGTAAAAAAAAAATGGCGCCAATGTTTAGCTGCACTCTGGTCTGGTAAGATCATATGGGCTTGGCATGAATTTCGGAACTTTTTCTAGTATAGACATTCACAACGAGGGACGTTTTTTCACTTGAACCTCATCTATTATTCCCACCTAGATGTTATGGTGGAGCCCAATTGTGGCTTCATCTACCTACGAAGTCATTGGAAAGATATGTGCCTGACACGTGAATTCGATACCGTAACCTGCACCCAAGGATACAACTAGAAGTATGTGCAAGTGATGCTGAAAACGCTGACCACGTGCTCAGCATTCGTGATATCAACCCTTCTGTTACCATCACGTAGAATCCTAATAAAACAAAAAATTGCATTCGGTGACAGGTGTGGCGGCATTAAGGATCTAGTGTGGTCCCTTTGACCATAGAAAACGACGAACACTGCGATAGGTGACGAGCACGAGTTTGTCATTAAGAGATTATGAACCTGTACCCTAATATACCGTTGTGCAGAGTGGGACACAGCTAAAAGGAACGCGTGGTAGTCGAGGTTCCTTTCTTTTTTTCAGTCTTACTTTACCCTGGAAATTTGACATCAAGACTCCTCGCATATATTGTACTGGTTCGTTTATGTGAGACACCAGCTGAGACTCTAAGATTGTAAGACCTTGCTTTCGTCACTAACACAGAGGTAAACTGAGCGAAAGCGCGAATGCATTAGTCGCGCTTGCTGCGTGAACGCTGTTCGTTGGACAGTATACAATAGCAAAAAAGCTTTTTAACAAGCTGAACGTATGTTCAGCTTGTTAAAAAAAAAACAAAAAAAAACACAACAATTTCGGAACAGAGCATCAACGTTGCACCAGCCGTACCCCACACCTGCATGCTCTCAGAAATAACCGTGATGGCATTCGGAACACCAAACAGTCGTCTTTCTTTGACCACACTTCGTCCAATGAAAGAGAAGATCGGTTTAAGGTTCCAATGGGCGTGCGCCCTCAGAGGCCAATGGGAGAATAATTTTCGCTACTGAGGCAGAAATACGTGGTGTAATACCACCCACCCGTCTAAAACTCATCGAAGGAAGGTCAAGTAATTTTGTTTCAGCCAAATGCATTGCGCTACATGCTGGAGCTCGTGCAAGCGCAACGTGCGCGGAGAATGTTCTCAGAAACATGACGCGAAATTCGCGAGGGTCTATACGCGAGCCCGACATCAAAGGTCGAGGCAGCGTAGCTTCGTCGAAGACACCGCGGACACAAAGTCGACAGCCACGGTCGCCGGCGAGTTGCGCGCATCTGTGGTCACGTCTTCGACTTCGCCGGTGGCGCCCTTGCAGCCGACCTCCAGCGACGCGCGGAGGTCCCGGTCGCTGGCAGAAGACGACGTCATCTCGTCGGTCATCTTCAGCTCTTCTAGTCGAACAAGAAGCGACGACTCTAGCGCGAACAGGTGATCGTCCCATATACCAGGGACCTCTTCCCTCATGAAGCGGGCCAGCCTGAGGACGTACTCAGCGTTGCTGCCACTAGGTCCCCTGGACGTGGCTATCTGGTCGGCCAGGGCCCGGACGCTGGCAGGGCCCAGGTACAGCGGGTTGCCCGGAAGGGCCACGTACACCAGGGCCGGGACGGGGTCTTCGCGGGGGTCCCGGGGCCGGAACTGGACCAAGGTGGTCCCGTAGCCGCCCAGCTTGGATTCCCGCTCGTCCAGGTAGGACAGGGAGGTCCCCGAGCTGCGGTCGTCCGGGCGCAGGAGGAACGCGCGACCCCAGACGATGCCCTGCGCAGACAAAGACGTGGTCTTTGGGTGAAGGCATAAGCGCCATCTCGCGTCTCTGACGTCACGTCGAAGCGATGGTGCTCTGACTGTCAAGCCGGGCATGGGCAGAGGCTTTCTTTCCAGTGTGGGTTCCAGACCGTGCACGTTACACCTAAAGCTCCGCCTCGTACGGAAATTCCAGATATGACGATATGAAGAATGGGGCAAGTAACATCATATACATATAGCCATATTAGATATGAGGTCATATGTACCTTATGTGCCCAATTCTTGATATGACCATATATGGCAATTCTGTACGGAGATCTATGCAGGCCCCTTATACAGGAGCTTTAGTGCTGTACCATTAGCTATAATAGGCAAATGGGTGCAGACGTGAGGATTTGTTTATTTACTTATTTTAAACCCTAAAGGCCCTTCCGGGCATTACATAAGGGGAACGTGATACAAAGATTGCTACAACTGAACCAAGTGGCAACAATGAGCTTGGATGTTCAAAGAGCTCGCTTAATGAGCTCTTCGAATATCCAAGAGCCCAATCAGTGACAGAGGTCACAAAATAACTGGAATCAAAACAACAGTGCTGTTGAACTGACTTAAAAATGGGCCAAGTGGGGACAAAGCAGACAACCTAAATCTATATTAACAAAAGAACCTTTAAGATATGTCAGGGCTAAGAGGCAGGGCCCCAAGAGTAAGAAGCCGAGTTAAGAGTTCGAAAATTCAAACCTGGTCGAGCTCGACCTTCGTCAGGTTCGTGACACCGCAGTCATAATATTAGAGCCGGCGGAACAAAGTAAGCAAGTTACAATTAGTTTCCAGGCTACTATAATGAAGATAGTTAGACAAGCGGGTCTAACATCGTTGAGGGCTGGAAAATCCCCCTTTACCCCGCACCTCCACCAAGTGTTAGGAAGCTGATAAACGGCGATTAATGAGAGATAGTGATCAATAATAATTAAAGAAAAGATCTTATATCTGTAAAAATTTATATTCATTGACGTTCTGATTTTGATTTTTTTGTTTTTATATTTTTACTTTGCTGTGCTGGTGAACCGCGCAAGGGGCTAAGTCCTACTAAGGCGACATACCTAAGTCGCATTTTGTCCCATCTTCTTAGATTTTGTCCGAATAGAGCGACTTTTGAATTTGATTTTATTTGATATGACACCAGTGGCGGTATCTCATTCAAGAAGGAGTGGCCGATCACAAGCTCGGCGAGCCCACGCTGCTGTCGGTGCCACGTATTCTTCCTAACCATATCTAAACTGCGAATAGCTCTGGAGGCTTAACATAGAGTATAAAACAGAAACAGAATCGAAATTTTTTAGACCTTATATATTGCTGAGCACCCCCCACCCGGCTTAAAAAAAATACATAATTGTATCTCACCCTCAAGCATAATTCCTCTCGCAACGTGCTTCGAGAGCGCTCTAGAACGGACACCTGTACGCGATAAAAAAACAACGCGAGCTTCGAACAGAATCTATATAAATAAAAACAAAAACAGGTGATAATGTCGTCAACCCGAATCCCCGAGCCACTCGACACTCGCCGCACCTAGCGACGCCAGCGACACCCCGTCCCCTATCCGCACCTGAAGGTACTAAACGGTCGGGCAGGTTCCTGGAGAACAAACATATCATTCGTCTGTTGCGAATAGGGGTCGTTGTCGCCGACAGACGAGACGGCAGACCCTAGACGCTAAGCCTCTCAAAGCTATCCCTCTGAAAAAACTGTCCCCACTCCATAAAAACATCAAGAAAACAAATAAATAAAACGGTAAACCACGAGCCCAACCCTAGTGTTGGGTGGAGATTTTGCGAACCTACCGAAATTCGAGTTGGACCAGGTTCGACATTTTCGAACTTTCATCGCCACGTTCGACGAGGCAAAAGCACCGGCCTACGGATCCCTGTCAGACTACGGCCGAGGTGCCCGCAGTCTGACAGATGCCTACCGCGGAGAAGGCGCCGCGTGACCGAGGTTTCGGTTGTACGTCAAAAAGATCCCCAGGTCGTCCAGATCAAACCTCAGTCCTCCGCCGGGTCCTCAATCCCGAAATTTGGAACGTCGGGAATTTGAAAAAAAAAAAAAAAATCCCGATACTTGATTTTTTGGTCGAGTTTGGTGACTTGAAATTAAAAACGAGGTGACGCTCCTCTCAGCGGCGAAAGGGTGCTATATTGATCGGGTGTATTGTATCGCAATAGCAATCCAAACTAGATCGGTAAATTTGTGTAGGGGTTTGATTGTACGAAATGAAATATCAAACAAACTTCTGTAAACCTTAATTCCCAACCCATTCTTCGCGAACTACACGCCTTTATAAGCTGAAATTTTACGCGTTGTAACTATCTACGGGTGCTGACTATACGAGGATTTGATTTTGTCTATAAAAATCTCAACCTCAAAACCGCAATAAAAAAAAAAAAAAGTTTGTTTTTTAGCGGAACGTTACCAATTTCCCCTTCCTTGTGGTGAATTAAGGTATATCTAGGTGCATTTTAGATTAGCTTCATAATATTTTATCGAGACGAACACGTTTCCAAAGCCAAAATAATGGTTCTTTCTTCAACAACTAAATCTTGTAAGAACTACTTCGCGAAGCGCATAAATATAATGCGAAAAACGACCCTTTTTTTTATGCGCCATTGAGTACATATTGCTCATTGTTACGAGACCCGACAGGTTCGTAAATGACAGTGTGTTCATAATAATTTCTGTATGATACAGGCTTTGCTGTGAGCTAATGAAGGGGGCATTTTTCAAGGTGCCTGTAATACGGGTACAGGGAGTGTGCATTGAGTACAAACGATCTAAGGAAAAGCTTCTCTTTTTAACTTAAAGGTTGTTTGTGTGTATTCTTAACAGCTAGTACACGGACTATGGTCTGCAAAAAGAAATAGGTGAAATATTTTCCCAGAAGTCTGCCAACGGTGTTCACAAGTCGAACTCAGACGAATTTTGTCACAAGTTGCACAGTTTGTCGAATCTGTTGAACTTCAGGTTCGACGAAACTTTGCGACATCCGTTGTGCTAGGCATATACGCTCAGAGACCTTTAACAAAAAATGGCTGCCAAGAAAGAAAAAAAAGTTGTCCCTCCGTTCTCCAAGGATGGCCGCACCCTGATGTTTCTAAAGGCTCCCCCTCCTAGTAGAGGGAAGGGCGCCGCCATTGTATGGGGACAGATTCGGGGACGCGTTGAACTTTGGCCCCCATTGTGGGGGCGTTCGAACACTGGGAAAATAAAATAGGGACATTAAAGAATATTAATACGGGTAAAACGCTTCGACGAGGCGCCGTGCTGTGCACGGCACGACGCAGCGAACCTTTCGTCTGTGCACCGTTATTGTAAACAAGGCTGCATTTTATTTGTTTGGTTGTTTACGTGATCTTCTTCTATCTATTGCAGATTTGCTGCTCCTCGTTTTGGCCGCACTGATTTGTATTTTTGCACGCGTTTCGGCAACGAATTTCCCTTAGAAGTGCGTAAGTTCTAAGGGCGTACCAGACGAAAAGCTGTCTTGGACAGCTTTTTGTCTGATCCAAAAAGCACTGCGTTGAAAATAAAATATAATTGAGTTGTACTGAACAAGTCTGTATTGTATGACTACACATGATATAAATATTTCTGCACTGTAAAATAATATTACTGATGAAATGTTTATCTAAATGTCATTCCACAGAAATTTCGAAAACTAACTTTTTTTTTTTTTATGAGAAGCGTTGTACACCAATGCCCACTGATGTCTTAAGCAATACTGAACAGGAAATATATATTTGATTGCTCATTTAAGAATTGCCAAAGTTAGTCGAGTCCTCGACTTTATTTGGGCGATATTGTAACGTAGAAGAGCCTTTGAGAATTGGCATGTGAACTTCTCGCTAGAGGAGGCCGAGACAATAGATAGAGTGACATAAACTGTAGTGTTTTTTGTGCTGGACACGGAAAGGCGATTTGCTTAGTCATACCAAAACACGTCATTTAGGGTTTAGACTGACCAAAAAATATCGAATCCAATACGCTAAAAATATTTAAATTCCCTAACTAAAAAAAAAAAAAAAAGTTTAACTTTTTTAGTTTGTTTTTATATAATAGGCAATTTATGTTTTCGATAATGCACCTGGACGCCACTTTAGCTTTGTTTAATTTCTACCTACTTAACTATTGATTTCTGAATTAATTTTATTTCCGTATAATAATGTCGCAATCCAGGAATCATCCGGCTTCGGGGCTGAACCTGCTACTTTTCTAAACAGACACCACCCTTTGTTTCCTTGTATGATTTTTTTTACATTTTTTACTCTTTTGAATTTGTATTAATTTCCTTGACCTTGAATAAAGCTCTCCCGGTGCACTAAAGGAATAATAAATTTAATAAAATTAATTTACAATTTAATTTAATCTAATTCTACGCTCGACTGAGAGAGACCTTTGTTTTCTTTTTATCGTTCTCTAGACGACAGGTGTCACGCAAAATGCGAGGAGTCACCCTACCGCCGCACCCGTCTCTAAACCTCACATCTGGACTCCCAATATCCCCGCACCCCCTTCCCGATTTCCCCCCATCGATCCCTCTTCCCCTCCCCGATCCACGCACCTTCTCTCCCTATTTTAACCCCCGTGCTCGTGCTGCACCCCAAACCCAACACCCTGCCCTATTTCCCCCTCTACTCCGGTAACCCCCAAGCCGATAGTGCGGCGGAAACTCGGCGCTCGACCAACCAATCAATCGCCTCCTTTTCATCTCCTGACACCGCTCTCAGGGCGAGAGTATCGGCAAGAGACTGATCACGCGACGAACGATAGATGAATGACTTGTCGAGCGGGCACGTAGCTTCCACCGCATTGTCGACATAAGGGCGAACGGTCTACTCCCCAACTCTCAATACCCAACACCCTCTTCCCTTTTCATTTCTCCCCACCCCCTCTCTCCCTAGAACGTCCTCCTTTCCCGAATCCTCCCTTTTGTTTTCTTTGGTCACAGCGTGCGCTTTGGAAACTTTTTTTGTTTTTTTCTTCTTTTCAATCGCGTCGAAGAACAGGTGGCGGCTACGGACGCGGTCCAACTTCTCTATTATGATCTTTCCTCCTCGTCCTCTTTTTATTATGCCTGTCTCACTCTTTTTTTTTTTTTTTATCGGTAGTTTGCGGGGATTTGTTCGACAGACCGGGGAGACGGTAGGAGATATCGAACAGAGCCGGAGTTTTGGAAACGACCGCGTGGAGCCATCTGGATGTCTTGACCTCCGCATGACCTTGTGCGTCGGTCTCGGACCCGTCTTGTGGGGCGGGAATGATGACCTTTTTCTGAACTGGCCTTGGTCACCATCAACTTAGCACCGGTCATACCGCCTCATACATCAAACAAAATACACGCTGACACGATGACAGACATTATCTGCGGAAAAGACGTCTCGCGCCCGTTCGAGTCACGTTTGCTCCACACATGTGTATGAGGATTCGAACATGTCTTGCAGACAGTTTTTGTGTGTTCAATGCGACAGGACCCTCGTACAAGGAAGAAGCCCGAGATTGTGTTTGCAGACTGTCCTTTTGTAACATCTGTTTGCAGCGTGACCACGGATTAAAGGCACGCTTTGAGTTTATCTCCGAGTTCGCATTCGACCATGGAAACGCGAAGAGCAAAACTCCCGATAAAGATGTAAATAGGTACGTTTAATAGCTCCTTCCGATACCTCCGATAACGATACGCGATAACAATACGATGCATGCGCGAAGGCGTCGGCTAAACATCGGACGTCATTATCGGAGTTGTCGGAGTAGGGGGACACAAATCTGGTGTAGACTGATGGCAGCTGTTGAAACCGGTTTACTCTACTGAACGTCTAACTTCTGGTTAACTCAGTTGGTACAGCGTTCCACTGGCAATGCAGAGACCCCTGGTTCGATACCAAGATCAAGCGGATTTTTTTTTTTTTTTTTTTCAGTCGTGCATTTGCATGTTCTTTGTCTCGCTTGTTCACTTTCTCCAGGGATAATATTGTTATTCTTATCCGGCTCGCTACACCTTTGCATTCATTGCTATGAATAGGGAATTTACCGGAGACCGAGGTTTCCTAAATGGCGACACAGGCACACTGAAGTCTGAAGAAACTCAGAATTCTCTGTGTTTGAGTTGTCCTTTAGAAAACCTATAGAGTCCAAGGTAAATAATTCACCATGTTCAACCTGCGCCAGCTTTAATGCACCCTCGATCGATCGCCTTTTTTTTTTTTGTTTTTTTTTTGTTAGAGATGTGAGTTGCAGAAGCGAATACAGCCAAGTGCAACGCACAGGAAATCTTGAGTATCTGGACAGAAACCGTATACACAAATCTGTAACCGCCGGTTCATTGTAGGAAGAAAGAAAATCTTTAACACGATGCGTGCGAAGGAATTCTGTGCACACTTTTCTTACAGTTACGTTAATCGAAATCAGCGCATGCTCGAACGTAATGCAAAAAAGAAAATAAATAAAAATAAAAAAAAGACGCAGTGGCGACGTTCTCACCTCCTCGCTCTCGATCAACGTTGCCACCCGGCCTATCTGAAAAGCGAGAAATGAAACGCTCGATTAACACATTGGCGTACATGCCCTCCTTCTCCCCCATCTCTTCCACTCCTATTTCTCAATCGAACAAACAAACAGTAAACTAGATTTGAAAAGAAAAAAAAACTATGCATTAACAGCTATATTAAGGGAGCAATCTCTTCCCGCTAAACATAGGTTAGCAAATTGAGTTGGTAAGTAATTATTCAATATACAGCAATTCAGTTTTTCCCACTATGTTTAGCTAACGAGCCGTAACGAGAAAAAGGTAATAAAAACGCACCCGATCTTACGGTTTGGGGGACCCAGCGATGCGCTATCGTGTTTAGAAACAATTGGTGCGCACTCACCCGAGCAACCAACCGAATTACTTGATCAAACCATATACGCTATGCTATGCACGGTTTTGCCGGAAGCGAACGCGGTCGTTGCTCCTTCGAGGAGACAACGGAGACACACAACTGGCATTAAACAAAATAATAATAACAAAAAGAAGACATCCAAATAGCGCCAATCTGGCCCGCGAACAAAAGGTTGACTCGTCGGCCGGCAATTCCGCGGCTAGAAATAATTATTCCTCCAGGAGCGAACGAACGGCAGCAGCAACAAGCGCCGCTTCTGTGTGTGTGTGGGAACACGTCTGTCAGGTCTGTTATGATGTTTCGTCCCCTCCACCCTACCCTCGAACGTTTATGTGTATACGTTCCCTGGGAAATCGCATCGTACAGTTGCATGGCGGAATTTTTTCTCTCAGTCAAGACGGACGGCAAGGTTCGTCCGTCGTCTCGTAAACAAGGCGATCCCCTCAGAGCGAAAACAAACGCGCACCTTCAAAAAGAAAAAACAAAAAAACAAAAAAAAACAACGACGATTGTTGGCATTGTTGTAAGTTGTCGTCGAAGGAAACACTCGCGGAAGTCGGCGCGGCTGAGTTGCTTGGTGAGTGTGTGAGGGATCGTGGGTTCAATCACCCGCCCTTACCAGCTTCGATCTGGATGAGCACTGCAGCGTGCGGTCGTGTATCACTATTGCGTGATGCACGTTAAAGACCCGTTCAGCAGTCGCGCTGCACCGGCTTAAATGCTCATCTCCAGTGGGTAACAATGGCCCCATATTAGCAGACTATAAACCCCTGCTGTCTAAACAACTAAGCAGTTCGTTCTTGGCGCATGTGTGCGGACATCGATACGGTATACGGAACGCGCAAGGCCTTTTCTTGTTTTCTCTCGGCAAGGATGCGCAATTGTGCGTCCGCAAACGTCCCCGCAAACGCGATCATGTGTATAATGCTGGCTATGGTGCGCGTCTCCGACTCGTGCATTTACCGCGTCTTCAAACCTGGTCCCTCGATTTCCGCCTGATGACGTCATTAAAGTGTCATGTCGCAGTACACGGCTCTGTCATGTCGTAGCCTGCCGCGACCCTAGCGGTTGCCGCAACAGCGAAGGTGGAGACGCGGCAAACGCCGGTTCTGCGCTGCAGGTCGCTCTGCATGACAGACAGTCGACAGGCATCAAAGCAGACGCGAGACAAGACGCCGCCACGACGCCTTTGTGGTGAGCAAGTCGTCTGCCTCTTGCGTGGGAGTTACGGTGACGTCAGAACGGCGCCGTGTTCTGATTGGCTTTGATTGAAAGGATAGTGGGTAGACCTTAATGGTAAAAAGCCTTTAAAGTCTACCCACTACTTTTTTTCTTTCAGTCAGCCAATAAAGGCTCGTCGTTCTGACGTCATCGCAACACCTGTACAAGAAGCAGAAGAACTTGAGCTCCGCCATACCCTTGCGCCCCCATGCCCTTTTGGCGCCAGCATTTCTATTCCCAACCGCCAGGGTCGCGACATTCGACAACATGGCACTCCGACCCCTGTGACGTCATTTGTTGCAAATTCGAGACCCCTTTCGATGCACGGGCGGGATAGGACGCTAAACACGCCAGTCGCGGAGACTGCAGCATCCGCAAGACTAGACAATCTAAGCTCAAGTCTAGACAAGCCCATAGTCAACGTCAGTAGACTGATCAAGTCTACACGAGCCCTACCCAGAGCACTGCACGCCCGCGTCATAAGTGCTATGCCGTTAGACGGCGTCGTGGGTTCCAAGATCTGGAGATGGCTTGGGCTTTCATAGGCCAGCTCAGCTCAAGCCTAGCCAAGTCTAACCAAGGTCTACTCGACCCAAGTCTGCACAAAGAGCCACAGCCCACCAGTATTACGAGTGATAAGCCACTAGACGGCGTCGTGGGCGCCAAGATTTCAAGATGGCGGCGTCCTCGTGAAAATGTCTATACCGGTGCGATGCATAAAGTGGCTCTTAACCTTGACTGTGCTGCACGCAATTTTAGAACGAGCTCGTTCTTAGGCCAACAATAGCATTACGGAAAAAGAGCGCACTATAGCGTGAAGCGGACGGCAAGGCGACGCACGTCGGCTTTGGGACGCAAAGACAATCGCGGGCTCCTTTATTTGAGCGAGCGTTCTGTCAAGATGCAAAAGGTCGACTTGGTTAGGCAGAAATAATATTCCTAATTAAGCCCATTGTTTCTCCGGAGCAGACTGCGTTCCTCTAACACCGCGTGGACAAACTCGGAGGTTAGTCGGGTCGTAAAGTTATGGCGCCACTGACCTCGAAAGCTTACGCGGCATGATCTTAATTGTACCGCATTGTTAGTTACGCAAAAAGGGGGTCACTCTCACGGGTAAAAATATGAAAGAAAAAAAAACAGACATGACGTCAGCGTTCGGCGAGGAGTCGGATGCAATCACGCGCGTCGTGCCCGAAAAATGGCGACCCCCAATGTTGCTCGATGCGGTTTTGAAAACGGTCAATTTTGACGATCGCTAAGATTAGGAGGATGCGACTTCCTGAGCCTTGTGGTAGGGTGTCGAGAAGCTCGGACAATATCGTGTTTTTTGCTCTGTCACGGATTGTTTGAAGATTTCTGCAGGACGGACAAGTGTTTTCCCGCGATTTGAATTAAAGCTTGGCATAACTGCAGCAACGATGATTTTGAGAATCACGATGGCTGGAATGTCGCTACTCCAAAGCGCAGTTTATTTAGCGGTTTTATAGTCTACACGAGAGTTCTTCTATTCAAGAGGCCATGCAGAATTGTCAGATCATTGTCCATTACCTGGACACGAACAGGGCATGCACGCACGAAGATTTGTATCTTCTGTTCTTTTATGGACGCCGGTCGTGTTGTCTGCCTGGAAAATGATTAATTCGAACGTAGCTAACTATTTAAGGACAAAATCATTAACATTCCTCGAATTATAAATTGCCGCGTGTATACAGTTAGTTTATACGTGCGTGTATGAAAGGGACGCTGCGCGGTGACGTTAATTATAGGAGAAAGCGCGACATGTCCTGTAATTGCGTAATTACTGTAGTTCGTTTTCACTGGCGCAGCGCGACCTTCGGTTATATATATATATATATATATATGTATGAAAAACCAAAGTGAAGAAAGTTAGAAAGTGTAATTAATAAATAAAATGTCCGTGAAGCACGGACGTTCGGATAGTGAAAGTATGAATATATGTAATATATTAGAGTGTGCGAAAGGAGAAAAATGGGGGGGGGGGGGGGGGGGGGGGGAAGAGGGGCTTTATGTTGTGTGGATGATATCGGCTGCGGCGATAGCAAAGTCAGGGCAATAAGACCCATTTCGCTAACCATGTCGAATCAGGTCGGAACGTACTGAACAATTCCATTAATCTCCAACTGCTCTAGGTTCACGTTTGCCTATTATAAAGTGTTTTTCTTTCTTCCTTTCTTGTTTGTGTGTGAGTGTGTGTGTGGGGGAGGGGGGGGGGGGCGTGCACTGCGCGTAGTTACATATATTGGTTGATTGATTAGTGGTAGATAATTTATCTTATACGAAAATGGTAAAAATCGTTTTTATCATTTTCGTATAAGATAAATTATCTACCACTAATCAACCAAGCAATATATGTAACTATATATGTAAAAAAAATTGCGTTTTAATTATTTTTCTGGATTTTCGCTCGTGAAATTGCGATTTAGACATAATTCATCTGATAATGTAGAAGGCATGTATAGGTGACCTTTCCTTTTCCTTCTCTTTTCAGGTGCATTAATACTAGATGTCCATCAAGCGGTACGATTCGATGGTAGCCTTTGGTTGAGATGATGTTGGGAATCAAACCGGAATCAGTCCTGATAGGAAAGGGTTCATGCTAATCTAGGACCGGGCCAAGGGTTGGGCCGACGTACAACCTCGGTTTTCTGCAGGGAAGATAACCCTCTTAGCGCCCCCCCCCCCCCCCCCCCCCCCCCCCAATCCTAAGCTGCGGGGGGAGCCAACTTGGGGCAAGGTAAAACGTGGAGAGGATATGAGAAAGGAGGGGGCGGGCAAAAGGGGAAAGCGCGACATGTATCGGCAGTGTTCGAGTTAAAACGCGCAGATAAAACGAACCTGCAATCGGCGCCTGAGCACAAAGTTCAAGAAGGTACGAAGAAAGCAACATTTACCAACGTATCTGTCTTTTACCGAATACAACTTTCAAACGTTTGACTATAGTATCTGCTAACACAGGGTCATGGCAAGTTGCGAGCATCTTCTCATCATCCCGCAGCCAATCACATCGCAGCATCGGCCAGTCAGGTTGCAGCATCAGCCAATTAGATCATCGCAGCATCGGCCGATAAGAACGCCCAATCACGAAACGAGAAGCGTGAACGTCATCAGCCTAGCCCTGCGTTTCTTGAGCTGTGGGTGACTTCACGCCTATTTTCTCGCTTTGTTTTCGCCGGCCATTTTATAAGCTCGTTCCGTGTCCTATCAGTCAAATTCAGACATGCACAGGTTACTAGTAACGCGTTACTATATACTCGTACCAGTAACGCGTTATTAGTGGGCAAACAGGCGCATTTCGCGTGAGGCTTTTTTACCTCTGCTTTGCCTGGCACACCGCCGGGTGCGCACTTGTTTCTGCGCAAATAAATAACTTATCCCTTATCACTTACTTCTACC